GTCGGCCCCCCGGCCACTACACAAACTGAGCTTGATCAGCGAATAGCTATGCGAGCTCGCTTTTTGATAAGAAATTTCAATGGTTCGGTACCGCGCTCGCATTCGAGCTCAAAACAGAAGGTGTACCTATTCCCGCAATGCGGACCATTCCTGTGGTGGTTGTCTCTGGCAAAATCGCTGTAGATGATGAAATACACTTTGAGCGATTGATACAGAGGCATCAAACACTTTCCTTGCGGTTAATTTACATTGGAGCCACAAGGTAGTTAGATTGCGGGTAGAGCGCCATCTTTTATTTAACTTTGCCAAAATCAAGGCGCAGCGCCGACTTCCTGTCTATTGTCGCCCTGCGACATATGGATCATACCATGACACTCTTGCAAGCTCTGTAATCTCTCACACGGGTGAGTTTACCCATAGCTTGAGCTCAGATTATGGACCTCCGGCTCCGGACTACTACCCGAGAAGCGCGATGCACAGGACGACGCGAAGCTTCATGATCTTTCTTACCATGAACGTCTCCGACGCCTGGGCAGTCTTGCCGAAGTGGCATTTCAAACTTCCAAGAGTTATCGGATTTTGGGTACTCCCGCCTATTCACAAGATTTTGGGTTAAACTTAGTCGACGACGTCGATCCACCAGGTGTTCCAAGTGGAAGTGGATTCCACCATTCTCATCGAGAACAGTCCGCTGCGGGTGAAAACGACTTGGTCGATCGCTGCCGAATGAGTCGCGATCTTTGGAAGAAAAAGTCCGTCGTCATCGGCCTTTCGCCGAGCATATTTCTGAAGTTGCTTTCCGCTGTGCGGAAAACCACGAGTGACTTTAGCACTTAATGCCTCGTCTGCCTAACGTTGAGATTTTCGCGCTCTGTCGGAGCGCCTCGTAGCCGTCGAGCAGACGTATACGTCACTTCGTGTGACGGTGGAGCAACTTGCGCCGTTGGAAACGAATATTGTTGCAGGACCAGTTGCTGATTCAGCATCTAGAAGGCCGAGAGCTTTGGTCACCAACCTGGCGCCAACGCTTCCGCGTTCACTCGAGCCGGATCCCGGTACGGCTTAAGCAGCCCCATAAAACACCGTGTGGGTGCGCATCCTTCTCGGAAGGTTCAACGTATACGCATAGCCTCGCTTGGCCACGACCTTAACGGTCCAATAAACCGTGGACGGAGCTTTGTCTTAAA